TTTGACAAAATCCAACACGCATTTATGATAAAAACCCTACAAAAAAATTAGAATAGATGGTCTCTACCTCAATCTGATAAAACCCATCTATGGAAAACCAACAGCCAATATCATACTAAATGGTCAAAAACTGAAATCCTTCACACAAAAATCAGGAATAAGACAAGGATGTCCACTATCACCACTGCTGTTCAATATAGTTTTGGAAAGATTAGCTACAGCAATTAGACAGGAGAAAGAAATAAAAGGAATAGAGATAGGAAATGAAGAAGTCAAATCGTCATTATTTGTAGATGACATGATACTCTATATCAAAGACCCCAAGAACTCCACCAAAAGTATTCTGGACTTAATAACCAAATTCAGTAAAGTAGCTGGATACAAGGTCAACACCCAAAAATCAATAGCTTTCCTCTACAGGAACAACAGACTCACTGAGACAGAAATAGGGCAAGCAATTCCTTTCCCAATACCATCCAAAAAACTGAAATGCCTAGGAATCAACCTAACAATAGAAATCAAAGACCTCTTCTCTGAAAACTATAGCACTTTGAAAAGAGAGATTAGAGATGATATCAGAAAATGGAAAGATGTCCCTTACTCCTCTGTAGGAAGGATCAACATAGTGAAAATGGCCATACTTCCAAAATTGCTATATAGATTCAATGCAATTCCAACTGATATTCCAGCAGCATCATTCATGGACCTTGAGAAAGCAATCCAAAATTTCATTTGGAACAAGAAGAGACCCAGAATAGCAAAAGCAATTCTAGGTAACAGAGATATAGCAGGTTATATTACAACCCCCAACTTGAAACTATACTACAAAGCTACTGTGATCAAAACAGCATGGTACTGGCAAAGGAACAGACCTGAGGACCAGTGGAACAGATTAAAAGATGCAGAAACAATGCCAGACACACTCAGCCATCTCATTTTTGACAAAGGAGCCAACCACCCTCAGTGGAGGAAAGATAGCCTCTTTAATAAATGGTGCTGGAGAAATTGGGTTTCAACTTGCCAAAGACTAAAACTAGACCAATATCTCTCATCATGCATTAAACTAAAATAGAAATGGATTAAAGATTTAAATATAAAAAGAGAAACACTGAACTGGCTGGAAAAGAGGTTAGGTAGAACTCTTGAAGACATTGGTGTAGGAAAAGACTTTATGAACAAAACCTCAGTTGCCCATGAACTAGCACAAACAATCAACAAGTGAGATATCTTCTTACTAAAAAGTTTCTGCACAGCAAGAGAAACCACCAGCAGTGTGAAGAGACAACCCACAATGTGGGAACAAATTTTCACCAGCTGTCCCTCAGACAAAGGTCTACGATCTCGAATCTATAACAAACTTAAAAATATCAGACCTCTCAAATTTAAAGACCCAATCCAAAAATGGGCACTTGAAATGAATAGACATTTTTCAGACAAAGAAGTAGAAATGGCAAATAAACATATGAAAAAATGTTCAACATCACTGATTATTGGAGAGATGCAAATGAAAACAACAATGCTGAGATTCCACCTCATTCCAGAAAGAATGGCTGCTATCATGATATCAACCAATAACAAATGCTGGGGGGGGGGTCTGTGGGGAAAGAGGAACCCTGCTCCACTGCTGGTGGGTGTTTAGACTGGTGCAAGCACTGTGGAAATCAGTATGGAGATACCTCAAAGAACTAGGACTGGAAGTGCCATTTGACCCCGCTATTCCACTGCTGGGGATCTTCCCAACAAATTAAAAGAATCATACCACAGTGATATATGTGCACCCATGTTCATAGTAGCACGATTTGTAATAGCTAAAACTTGGAAGCAGCCCAAATGCTCATCAACTGGAGACTGGATAAAGAAAATGTGGGGTTTCTTTTTATAAAATGGAGTACTACTCAGCCATAAAAAACAAGAAATTAGAAACATTTATAGCTAAGTGGATGCAAATTGAGGCAATACTCTTAAGTGAAATAAATAGCACACACGTGTATATACAGAATAGTTTCTCTGGTGTGAGAAACAATGTGTAAATAAGGACTAAAATGTATAATAGATAATGTGAAGCAGGTAGAAAAGGGGCAAAGGGGAAGGAGAAATGGGAGGACTAGGGGAAAGGAAAGAAGGTAATGGAATTAATATGGGAAAATGAAAAAATGGAAACAAAGTCTTTGTAAATAGGGAGGGATGGAGGGGTTGAAGGGAGGACAGGGGAAGGGGGAAAAAATAAGAACCAAGAGAGTATGTAAAGGTGCATACCTCCAATGATGAATGTCATTATATTGTATACCTAAAATGTATCAATAAAAGGATATACAAAAAAAAAAAGAATTTAAGGAAAAAAAACTATGAGGATTTAATTGATCAATACTAGGATGATGATTACTACTTCCTATATTCCCACCAACTTTTACAAATTAATATGCATATATAACATTTTAGAAAAAAATCTGAAATTTAAAAAATTTTACTTCAGTAATATTTGGGACATTTTCTATTCTCCAGAATTTGATAAAACATTGACCGTTTTAGAAGTAAAGGGACCCTATTTAGGATCAATACCTTACTTTTTAAAGCAGTGTGCCGCAGTGACTAGCCAGGTGTTACTAATCAAGGTGGCCCCACACTGATGGATGTTACTGCGCTGAAGGGAAGCTTGCCAAGGCCAGGCACCCTTAGGTGCAAGTTCTCCAGACATTATTCTGTTGACTACTAGTGGTGCAGCTCTTTTACCACAACCTGAAAGAGATGAGATTATTAAGTTATAGGGAACGTCTAATTTTCAATACAGAGAAACTAATAAAAGACTGTAATACAATATTTAAAGCTACTATTATGTAAGCATGCACTCCATCCTGTCCATTTTCTGTATTTCCAGGTGCACTATTCTGCTTGCAGTAAATAGAATATATTACCCACTGAAGCTTTGTTAAGCTGCAAAGGATTGACACACTTCAAATTAACCCTGTGGACTTGCATTATCAACTATCTAGTTACTCTGGGAGCTCCCAGTAAGATTACTATTTTCCAGTTTTAGGTGGTCCAGAGGTGTTACCTTGACAGGAAGTCCTTGCTAGAGGAACAACTCCCTCTGGCCATACGTGTAATTGCCTGTTTGTCAGAAACCCACTCTCCTTTTCTGAGTGACCACTTTCCTCTAAGGTGTGCCTGGATTAATGTAGCACAACTAGTTTCTCTTCAGGATGAAAGTTTCCAAGTTTAAAAGTAAACATTATGTTCTCTATTGTGAGAATAAACATGTATTCTATTGTGTGCATCAAACTTAGGATTCCTGCTAAGAATTAAACCAATTTATAGCACAATTTGCACTAAGAAATGGTAGATTTATTTCTTGCTCCAACTAATTAAGTATCAAAAAGAAAATTCATTTTACTGGTATTGATTACACTCCAAACATGGCATGGCCAGCTGTTTTAGAAAGCTTATTGCTCTGAGTTTAGAATACCATTTTTCCTCATCTGAAGGAATAGAGTACTTTCCACTTCCCATCTTGCTTCAAGTCTTGCTCATCTAATTAATTCTCCACACTGGAACCTGAGTGATCTTTCTGAAGTGTCTGAACCTTTCAGACATTTCATTGTCCTCCTGATAAAGCAAAAAAGTTTCATTGGGGTTCTGGTCCTTGATCACTATTAATCACAGCCCTCCCCTTCCTCTCCCAGTACTGCAAGTTCCAGCTGTGCTGATACTTTGTCAGTTATAAGAGATGACTACACATTCTCATTTGTCTTAAGATGTTTTTATGGACTACTTCCCATGCCCAGGAACTCGCTACTGGTCACTTGCCTTATGGCTTCACCTCTGTTTTATTTCCAGGATCATATTCCGACTCCATAAGATCAGGCTACCTAAATTTCTTTCCTTTTTTTTTCTTTTTAAAGTAACAGCTTTATTGAACTAAAATTTGCATAGTGTACAATTTACAAACTCGAAGTGTATGATTCAGTAAGTCTTACCATATTGACATAGTTGTACAACAATGACCACAATCAAATTCAGATCATTTTTGTTATCTAAAATCAAAATACTCTACCCACTACGTATCATCTCCCAATGCCTCTCCCTGAAATCTAGGCGACCACTGAGCTACTCTCTATCTTTATAGATTTTCCTATTCTGGGAATTTACTTTTCATTTCAAAATAGACCATGCTTATAGCAACAATAAAGAGCTTAACATATCCAAAGAAATAGAAATCTTGCAAAGTGAGCTCTCACACTGTTTTGGACAGCAGAAACATATTTAGATTATAATAACGCACTCTTTCTCTCTTTTTCTTTTTCTTTTTCTTTTTATCCTATTGTCTGTCTTTTATTTCATGCTTTATTTATATGTTAACTTTTTCATATAAGGGAACCCATGTGATGTTCAAGCTTGTGTGTCTGATTTTGTTCACTTAACATTATGGTCTCTTATTGACTCTCATAGCAGTATGTACTTTATGTGTTAAAGCATTTATCACACTATTGTAGTATGTCTTTCCCTATCTTTGAATTATAATTTTGAATACAGTCCGAACTTATTCACAATGATACCACCAGCTCCTGACATCTGGTACTTGGTAGATATTAAATGATATTTGTTGCATGAATAAATGACAAATACACAAATACCACTACTCAAATTCTTTGCAATTTTCTTTCAAAATGCAGGCCAAAGTGAATTGAAGTGGGTTAGTGAAGCCACCATCAGCTATGAATATGAGACCAGTAAGTAAACTTTAACCACTGAGTCTTAAATAACAGGGTTCATCACTTTCTCATTACCATTTTGTCATTATTCTACTTTTCTGCAGGAAGCACATTACATAAAATCGTTAAAAATTTAGAAAAACAAGTTCACTTATTCCAAAGCAGAAGTATATACTTTCTTCAAATTTCTCCAGAATTGTCATAATGTAAAATGTTTTTTAAACATAAATTTTTAAAAAATCAGTCTTAGAGTTAGGAAAAGAGAATTGCTATCTATTGTTCAATTATTACTCTTTTCCAAGAAAATATGGGCCACATTAGCTAGTACTTGAAGATATCTTTGCTGATGTGAAAATTGAAGTTATTTATGTAAGCTAACTAGACTTACATGCTTGGAAAATTAGCTTTCCTGTTGATGAGCTCATTGCTGAAAAACAAAATAAAATAAAGAATGATAATTCGATACTCTTACTTGGTCTCAATGACCAGGAATTATCAGAGGACATTGACCATATATGGATTCTAGACAATGTAGATCAGTCAGGAGAACAACCATCTAATATAATAACATATGTGTACATTTTGTAGAGATTGATAGGCAACCTCTAATAAGATGGATAATGTCTGAAGCAGCAAGACACAAATAGTGGATGATTAAAATCCACACATAGTTTCAATTAACACAAAACTGTGTTTTCCTACCAGTGCAGAGGAAAGCCTCTTTGGATTCCACTGTAGGTATGGGGGAAAAGGGAGCAGTAGATGCGCCCGGGTCTTAAAGGCAGCCTTGGCCAGAACAGGTCTGCTTTTGTTTCTTTTGTTACTTAAGATTTCACATAAACCTTTTTTCTTTTGTGAAGGTGAAGCAAGACTTAAAAAGGAGGAACAAAAAGTTTCTCCAACCTAAGCAATACCTGAACTGTAGTTCTTTGTTCTAATAGAGATAAAACCAGCAACTTTGTCCTTGTAAGTAAAATTTTATAATCCCCTGTTCTCATAATATCTTGTTTTTACCTGACGAGGGCCACTAGGATATGTTAAGTTGCAAAACTGTCATAACTTGACAAACTGTCTCTGTTCTGCTTGCCTATTCCCAGGTAGGCCAACCCCCTTTGACTGAATGTATAAAAACTGGAGCTTTTCCTTTGTTTGGGGCTCAGCCTTTGGATGTGAGTCTGCTGGGCCAATGTGCACCTAAAATCCTGGGATTAAATCCTCCTGTTTCACCTGTGGTTTCTCCTGTCTCTTACATTCCAAAGCGCAGGGGTTTAGAATGAAAAAATTGAAAATTGTCACCTAAAATATTTCTAAAACATAGTTTCTAAAGATCAAAATGCTTCTTTGAATAGTAAACTATGGTACATTTTTATCCAATATCCATTGAATATTGGTAAAAGTCAATTATTGAACAAAATTTAGGATTAAATTTTGTTAATTTGCAACAAGTTAAGAATCTGATTAAGGGAAACACAGACATTTAAATTTGTGTACATATGTGAAAATGTATTCAGCAAATATATACAACTTTTGTCAATTTTAATTAATGAAAGAGAAAAATAAGTCAGAAGATTATATGAAAACTTTATTGATGGTTAAGTGCAAAAAGACTTAATAAGCATATGGTAATAAACTACTTTACTTTATTCTATCAGTGCCATGTTTCTCAGTCTTACCTTGTCAGTGCCTCACTCCCCTTTGTGCAAAATAAGAGTTTCATTCTAACTTTCTGTAAATTGCACACAGGAAACTAGTGACAATGAACTTGATGAAGTAGGAGTTTTTCAAAATACTCAATTCAAAGACACCCAATACAACATGCCCAAGTCACTATGTGGTGAAGAATCAATTGCTGAGAACACATTCTCAGTGCATACTCTACAGAAGGAGCTCAGTTCTCTGACAAATGTAGTTTAAGCCAGTAAGTTTCTTGCTTCATTAAAAATTTAATTTGTTCTTAGTAGTGGAAAAACTGTATGGTGTTAAAATTCTCCAGTTAAAATCTCATCAATTCAGTTGCAGCAAGATGCAAAAGATCCACTTTCAGGAATGATACCAGGGCACATGTAATGGTTATAAGCATAACTAGATTCTTAAAAATTGAATTTTTGGGAAGAATGATCATACTTGGAGGTAAACTACTTCTTTAATAAGTAACTTATTTGTTAAAGATTTCTAGTTTTTACCTAGCATTTTTACTCCCCAAGTATAGAAATGAACAGAAATATTAACACTTCAGTCTTGAAAGTGACCACGCCAGCACATTTCTAAGTTGGGAGAAATCTAGTTATTGTTCAGTTTTTTGGGGGTTTTTTTGGTACCAGGGATTGAACTTGGGACCTTGCACTTGTGAGGCAGGCAGCAGAACCGCCAAGCTAAATCCCTGGCCCTATTGTTCAGTTTTACGTAATGCAAAAGTCATGGTGGGAAACAGAGCCTTCATCACCTGACATATAGATGCTGAGCTGCTTCACCACAGCCAGTGACTATTTTATTAATTATATATTTTTTATCAGTACTTGTTTGTAGTACATAATGATTACATTTATTGTGGGGAATTTGTACATGAACATAACACATCTTATTTCTTTTTTGTCTCCTTCCCCTCCCATCCTCCAACTCTTTGTCCCCTTAGCATTTGAAAATGCTTTATTTCCATTTCTCATTTTAAAATCCTTTTCCCTTTCTTTCCTCTCCATCTCTTGCCCTCATTTGAAAAAGATCTCCCTACTTCCTATTATCCATCCTTTATTTTTCTCTACTTTTGTAATGTGAAGAAGCTGATTTTAGCTTTGCTTTGACACACCGTATCTAGTGAAGAATCTGCCTTACAGTTATTTGTCAAAACAAAGCATAGCTTCTTGATAAATTTTGGATGAATCTTAAACTAAGGGATTATGTATAGGCTTGACCTAGAATGTCAATTGTTTTAAATTCTATTTTTCTGAAGTTCCAAGGTTACATATTTCTGTAGAACAATATTTTTGCATGTTTAAGAATTGCCTTAAGATGCTACTCTATGAGCCTTTCCCAAACACTAGTAAACACCATACAATTGAAAATTCTGGAACCTTCAAGGTTACTTTATTCTACTACTAGTCACTCACACGAATGGCTTCAGGTTTCTGAAGTATGCACACAATCTAATAGTTTCACACTAATCATGTAACCTCTTTGTTCACACAATATTTTTGTATATTTTCACAATAATTCTGTGATTTCAGGAAGCATAAACATTATCACTGCATTTTACAGATGTGAAAACGAGCACAAGGTATCGGCCACTTTTGGGGTCCTGTGGTAACTCAGTGGAGTTACAATTAGGTTCCTCTTAAATTAAGTTTTCCATCAGTTCATCTACTTTTTTGATCTAGTACAGTTACTAAATTAAGAGAAAATTTATAAACTGATCCCAGAAGATATAAGACCAGGCAACCAATGACTATTTCACGCCTCATTTCTAGTTTCAGATGGTTTGGTCTTTTAAATGTCTGGAAGATTTACTCATTATTGGCACTTAAGTACATCATATCATGTAACTTATCAGAATGGCCGCTATTTCACAAGCTAAATTCATGTGTCTCACCACCTCACAAAGAAGGTGGATTAAGCAGTTGACAGGCTCCTCCCTCCTGTTTGGGAGAGGTCTATAGCTTTACTTCCTGAGTAGCTGGCTCTTTGTCACATCAGCAAATGTGTCTGTCTGTTTCATGACTTCAGAATCTCACTTCCTGGTGAAGTTTCCTTGTGAAGAGTCAGCTAGACCCTTGGAAGGCTGGGCATCCTGCTTCATGTTTGTTATAAATCACTTGCTTGACTGTCTTAAATCTGGTGTGTGTTGGGATTTGTAGAGGAATTGTGTACTTGGCTACTTACTAGAAGCAGATGCTGAGAAAGCAGCTTAGCATACAAGGGTAAACGGGTTTCTGTCCAGCTGATTTCTCAGAATCTCTAACACGCTGATGTAAGGGGTGGATTTCCAAGGGACAAATATCATACACAAAATTTATAAAGTGTGTTTAAGCACAGAGCCCCTTTTTAATAAAGCCTATCAAGAAATTAGAGATATAAGCTCCTTTTAATTATTAAATTCCCCAACCTTTTTGCTTGATTATTACATCTATGAAGTTCAATTTTCCTACTTCATTGGAACATAGAAATTCAATCATATACTGCATGTAAGGAGCATAGCGATGGACCCTGATAAACATTCCTTCTCTTCCATTTAGGCAAGTGATGGTAGTGTAATGAGCTAAGGGTGATCAGAAGAGAGGAGTGGACTGATGGATAAATGGTTCCAGGGATATTTTTTCTAGTTTAGTGATTTTTAAAGCATTACTTATCTGATAGCTTCAGCAACACCATTTTCTCACAGGAAAGAAGCTAACAAAAACTTCATAATATGGCCATATATATATATACACAAATTTATCCTTTGTGTGTGTGTGTGTGTGTGTGTGTGTGTGTGTGTAGGTATTAGAGATTAAACTTGAACCCAGGGCCTTGAACATTCTAGACAAGTAGTCTACCAGTGAGCTGAATCCCCAGCCCTTTTTATGTTGAGGCAAGGTCTCACTTTGTTGCCTAAGCAGGTTTCTAACTTGCTACTTTCCTGCCTCAGTCTCCTAAGTGGCTAGAATTGGAGGCCTACACCACTGCAGTCAGCTAAGCCATACTTTGTAAAGGCAATAAATGAAATTTTTTTTTCAGAAAGTCTTATACCGCAATACAGTTCCCCACTCTGTCAACTGAGCTATCAAACGACGTTTCATACAGCAATACAAATATTGCTCAACCATTCCTTGGCATTTCCACTTGGTTAATCAGGGAGGCAGTGTCTGGGTCAGATTAACCCTCTGTTGGTAATAAAAGCTTGTCTTTATTTTGTGATGAATGTTAATCAACTACTTTCAGAGAAATCACTTGATACATCAGTCATGTTCTCATTACAGAATAGTACACCCTAGAACTATCACTTCTTTAAGCTGATTTTTTCCGTGTGAATTATATTCATCCTTTATAATTTTTGTGGTGTTAAAATTTTAACTCAGGTTCTTGAGCATGCTAGGCAAGTATTCAGCCAAACCAAGCTATATTCCCAGTCCTCCTCCAGGTGCGTTCTAGCTATTATTTAGAATGAAAATAATGACAGGTGAATTTGTGATTGCACAAAATGTGAACTTAATAGAGAAATTCACATTCCATAGAAAGGCACATACTTACCATTAACTTGAACTGATGAAATATTTATTGGCAAAGTTCTTGTATTCCTTATCTTCCGATTTAAGGTGCTATGGATTTTCTTCTCTCTTATTTTCCTCTGCCAAGTGGATGGGAACTGGAATACCATGATGATGTCTGCTGTCACACTATGTCCCTCTGGACTATGACACATACGAGAAAGGTACATAGTCAGATAATGCTACTGGTATTGTCCTACGTGCTTTCTTATGTCTTCTTCCCTGATTTGTGCCTTAATTGCTGAGAATGCCAGGTGTTAAACCTCCCACTTGTACATTCTTCTATATGACACTGACTGACTTAAGACCATTTTACAGTTCTCTTGTCCAGCCTTTGTATGTTTTGAGTGCAGATTTACCACTAATGTAAAGGCTTGTTGCAGAACTTAAGACTCAGGCATAAAAAGTCATCATCAAGATAAAAATCTCCGAGGGTTGAAAGAAACCACCACATTATCTTAGGCCAATCAGTTACATATCTGATACCTAGAGTCAGCTTTACATGGTCCATGACAGGTGATCCTCCAACCCTGGCACCATGGTTAAAATGATGGAAATGTCCTTCCCTATGGAGGCTGGCTTCTCTTTGGTCAGGTCTGATTTTATGAATTCTTTATTTTGAATTGAAATATGTCTCTCTTTATCTTCCATGACATAAGTCTTAGGTCTATCAGTTGGGGACCTACATAAAATATTAATTCCTTCTTCCATGTAAAATACTTAAAGAAAGCAATAATATATAGTTTTCCACTCTCCTCCAGATTAAACATGCCCAGTTTCTTGAATTTTTAATATAAACAGGTTCAACTTCCTTCACCTGTGGAACTGAGTTTTCACCTACTTTTAAAATAGAAAAATTGTTATTGTTCTTATAAAATTTAATTAATATACATTCAACTGCTTTGTCTCCTATTTTTTTGTATTTAAAACTATGAAACTTTTATTTTTGCTTAAAATGTGCACCTTCTACCAATTGTCAAAATATAGTCACAGTTAAGTACCTACCCCTTTGAAAAAATTTTTTTTTACCTCGGCCTTGAAATGGGTGAGATGAAGATTTAGTAAACGACAACATGATTTTCTTTTAACAGCACCTTGAAAAAATACACTGCACTAGCAAAGGCATTGAGAAGGGGGCAAAAGCCTTCAGACCCAGTGGTTTTAGGGCCCTGCGACACGTGTGAGGGCGTAAGGGGACACGGTGACAACGTTGTCATAAGTTAACGTTAATGCTTTGTGAGAAGGGATTTGGTTCAATTCTTTTACTTCAAGGAACAAGGCAGTGCCCTCATCAGCTGCCTGCTCTTTCCGCCCTGAGGCCTTCGTTTTCTTATTCTTGGCTTCTTTAGCCTCAGACTTTATCTTGTTGAGTTCGAAACCGTGTTGGGGCTGACTCAGGTTTTTCTGTTGGTAAAAGACGAGGGAGAGGTGCATGGGGTGGTTGCGGTTGGGGTTGGCCACAGGGGTGGTGGCCTGGAGCTCGCAGCGCGAGCACTCGATCAGCACTGAGCCATGCGTGGGCGCGATGGCCACCCCGCCCACGCTGGCGTCCAGGAAGATGTGCTCACTGTCCAACCAGTACTCGTCCAGGTAAGGCAGCTTCTCCTCAGCAGGGGACAGGAGCTCCTCAGACAGGGCGTCGCCTGACAGTGGCTCATCCCCTTCCCAGTGCAGCTCCTCCTCATCCACCAGGCAGGATGCGAGGAAGAGGGGCTGCTGGCCCGGATGTTCAGGCCAGGGGGAGGCTCGGGGTAAGCCAGGGGCTTCAGCACGGGTCAGGACAGGGTGGGGACAGCAGCTGCTGCACTCTCCCCAGCAGCTACGTGAGCACCTGCGGGTGCTGTGGAAGGCGTGGTGCAGAGGGCAGGGCTGCTTCTCCCGGGAATGTAAGCAAGCCTATCTTAGGGTACCTAACTGGAGTTGCTGTGAGGGAGGAGGCTTCGGGGGCAGAAGACTGGAGACAGGTTTGCCTCTTTCTCAGGGTGAGGCATGGATGGGACAGATGAGTAGCATTTAGTGTTGTCTGAGCCTGACAGATGAGTAGCATTTAGTGTTGTCTGAGCCTGGGATGGGAAGTGATGTCGCCTGGCTGTTGTTGGCCACGGCAGAGTTGTTATTCCGCTTGACCCGAGGACTCTGCCTCTTCTCCACCGCCCTGATCTTGCGCTCCAATACCTCAGTCATCATCGCTGCCCGCTGCTTCCCAGAGCGAGGGACTGGCTGCGTGAAGCGCGTCCTCTTCCTCCGTGTGGGCTGGAGGACCTGCACGGCCCCGGACTGGATCTTGGCTTCCATGCCTTCCTTGGAGCCGAACTCATCCTTGTCGGACAGTCTGTACAACGGGAGGATGTGGAGCTGTTCATCCTCAGGGACAACGCCCAGTGAGCGGTTATCTTCTCAGGTCAGAGTGCTCACCACAGTGCTCCCGTGGTTCACGTTGTGGATGTCCCAATGCGGATGTGCACAGAAGTCCAGGCAGGCAGTGACCCCGGGGAAAGGGCGACCTTCCTTTGCACCAAGCCGGCATTCTCGGGCAGCGTGTTCATATAATACCTGGTTTTGGTAAGCAGCAGGCGCATATTGCTTATAAATTGGAGCTAATTCTGTAGCCAGATTCTGTAAATTATCTTCCAGGTTCTTTTCCATGGCCACGTGTTCCTTACAGACTCGTTCCGGTTTCACATATCTTCTTTCTGGATTACATCCTTTAGTAATTCTTTCATTGTAGCTGTGTAGGGGAGAACTTGGATCCATTCTAAATCTTCTGGGGCTTGGGCTTCTACCAAATTTGCACCCATTGAAATGCATGCTCCATGAGCAGCCAAAAGAAAATGAAGCTCCACACCTCTCCAGGTCAATTTCTTGACATGTGCAGGTACGGTTTTCATTGAGGATACATCTTCGGTCTGTCGGGTGAGCATTGTATGACTTTAGGTTCTCCGTGAGCTCCGTGTACAGTCTGTCCGCCATCGGTAGTGGGATGCCATCCCACATGATGAGCACCACTATCACAGCCGTCTCGCACTGGTGGCCTGGGCGCTGCCAGACCAAACAGAGAACCTTCTCTTCCTCACTGCTTCTTCTGATTACCCACTCAGTGACTGGACACCCCTGAGAGCTCTTTCCTTCTTTTCCGGTGTGCACAACTTTTTCTATCCTTATCGCCTTTCCTTTTTGGCCATACCCATTCTCCATGATTTCCCTGACAGCAGCAACACTTGGTCCTGCCCCAGGTATGTATAATATGGGCCTTTGTCTTTTTGTATACCTCCATCAGGACAGTCGCAGGCTGGCACTTCCGGATCTTTTGTTGCAGCCACTAGGTTTTTGGCAGGGTTAATGAGGAACTTCATGGCATAATCATGAAAATTCTTCTGTGCACTGTCCACAGGGGAAAACTCGGATGCTCCAATACCAGGTGAGCAGACTTCCTCTTCCTCTTTCTCCTTTGGGGGAAACCACTGTGATTCCGCCTGAACTGACTGCATTCAAGTTCCTGAGAATCTGTGCTGGGTCTGGTAAGAGGGTTTCTGGAGAGACAGTGGGTGGCGCTGCCAGTCTCTGTGGTCTGAGGTGCTCTAGGGCATCCTGCAGAAACCGTGTTTGGTCAGTGCCGGCCACCAGGTTAGCACACTGGTTAGGTGGACAGGAGGGCGGGGGCAAGGGGTGAACTTTCAGGTTGCCATTGACTGTTGCCTGTACCTGAGGGCTGTGGGCTTTATACACACACACCTACTGGTGGGATTTGGCCTCAGGATAAAACACTGGAAGGGAATCCAGTGGTTTAACCTTCACCACCATTTTCTCCTGTGCTAATTCAGAATGTTGCTCAAATTTGATCTGACTGAGGGGAGGAAATAATTTTTTGTGTTGTAGGGTGGTAGTGGCTTGAGCCAGTGGTTTCAGAACTTTGGAAAAGGGAGGAATTTTTCCCAGGAGAAGAGGAAAATCATGTGGACCAAACTCACCAAATCTTTGAAATTTGGAACCAATCCAAATGTCATGTAACTTACTATACTCATAGGACATATGCTCCTGCTGCTTCTAATTGTTTTCTTGACAGGTTATGACCATGGGTTTCTTTTCCCGCCGATCTCTTCTGGGGGTAGACTTTGCCTTTTTCTGGGTTGTGTTCTTTTGCTTTCCTAATGATGAACTGTGATTGTTTTGCACACTTGAATGTGGTTTCTGTGGCACCGTGCCCTTCTCCTGAGTATGTTTTTGCTGTGCATTATGCGCCACAAGGCTTGTTGGTGGACTCTCAGCATTCTTGTCTTCTGGCTTTATATAATTTAATAATCGATGCAAGTTGTGTTAGCTGCGTTGCAACATCTTCCTCAATTTGGCTGTAAGATGTGTCCTGACTTGATGGATCTTCCTTGGAATTCAAAATTTCACTCCTGACCAGCAATTAGTTACAGTATCCCAATTTATAACTTGTTGGTGGCAACTGATGCAAATCATCAAGACCAGTCCCAGTTCCACAACACTTTTGTAAGTATTTGAAGAATTAGATTTTGGTATTAAAAAAGATATTGAATTTTTGACTTTTGGATGTTCGAGAGGCTTGGTGGGTGCTTGGTGAGTAGCAGAGCCAATCGGTGACTTGGACAGAGTGTTCTGGCCATTGAACACCGCTGTCAGGCGTGAACTTCACTTTTCCAGAGAAGGACAATGAGGAAGGCTTTGCGGCTCCCCATGGAAGTTAGGGTCTTGAAGGTCTTTTCTTATGGAGTAGAGGATGGCTTTGCAGCTGTTAAGCAGACTAGCTGTTCTCTGAGCTGTTTTTCCTCCTTCTCTGACTTGGATGGTAAGGAGTTCTCTGATAGGGCTTCAGAGAGTTGTGTCAGGGCCTCGATGGCGACCACTTACTCCAGCATGAGCCTCCTGTGTTTCATGAGGGAGAGGACTGTGGGCTGCATGGGGGAGCAATCTTGAGGGTCTTTACTCACTCTGTTCTAGGGGGTTTTAGGTTGGTCACCTTCACTGTGTGTGCTGGTCTGACTTTAAATTTGGAGAAACTTCAGATTTGCAATTAAAGCCAGACTTTTGGAAGATGAAGATGTAACTCTTGTCCTTGAGGTGTCACAGCTCGTACCAGAGACAGTGGAGCCCATGGCATTGTTATGGTTCTCAGTGTCTTTCAGGGGTTTGTAGGGATGGTTTTCCAACACCTTGCTGAATTCTTCAATACTGAATTTGTTAAATGATATGTTTGCTTCAGCTGCTAGACAGGGCACATTTTTAATGCCATTTCTTATGGTTTGTGCAAACAGTTTTGGAGGTTTGTTTGGCTTCTTATCCTCTTCAGGCTGTTTTGATTTTTCAGCTTTGGTGACATCTGCACTGAAGTTGCCATTGACATGCTCGAATAAATGCGATTTCTTGTTTTACATCCACCTCTCCACCTCGATACCTGTCATGCTTTTTTCATTTTTCGTCACATTTTCAAGGGGCTGTGTGTTTACTTCCAATCTTTGTTCTTCCTCATGACCACTGCTACTGTATTCCATGGATTCTGACTTGAGGCCATTTACTGGTTTGTTTTCAAAATCTGCCTTGGTGGGTGAAGACCTGGAGGCTCTTCTGGACTTGCCTCATGACCAGTCACAGGGAGACCTCAGGACTCCCTTGCCTCCTATTTTATACAATAAAATATCTAAGCTAATGAATTTTTTAGCTATACAAGCAAATCACTTTCTGAGACATTTTAGCTATTATGATCCATTTAGGCTCTGGAATATGAAGATAAATATAATTATAATTTTATGTCAAATTGACCGTAAATCACAGTATTTAACACTATTCATCAGATAGACTTTCTCTGGACCTCTACAAGAATTACATAATGATAAGAGCTGTAAATAAAAAAAATTCTTAAAATTGTGATAATGTGTTGAAATGCTATGGCCGATCAGAATTTGAAAATAGAGTGCATGAAATCTAGAAAGTTCCAGTATTCATATGCTTTTAAACCTCCTAAATAATCCTAATAATACTAGAAAATCCTGATGGAAGTCAGTAAAAATGTGAAGAACTCTAAATTCTAAGTAAGTCTACCAATAAGGCAGTAATAGTCTGCTGGTAAGAAAAGCAGTTATTTCCTACAAATGAACCCATGTCTGAACCTAGTCTTTTTCTTTAAGAAGATGAGTTCAGGTCTATACATGTTCATGTGTTTGTGTCTATGATATACATGCTGTGCTGCATAATTTTCAAAATAACACAACTGAAACCTCTGAGCAATTGCTGCCACTGATGTGAGTCTCCCCATGCACCACAACAAAAAGAATACTTATTTCAACAGGAACATATTTTTGTCTGGGCATGCCTCTTGTCACTAGGGCTTCAGAACATGTAAAACTTATGGTCTCATTTTGTAGCCAATTTTGCCTTCTTCATACTTTTGAAATGAGTTATCTGTCAAAAAGCATACAGCTTTGTTCTTGCTGCTGGGTGGGTTTTCCTAAGGCTGTGGGCTTTGGTAGATTCTAGGCCTAACTTCCAGGCCTTACAGCTAGTTGACAGATTTAGTTGCTGTTATGTGACTTGGTGTAACTGTCCCTTGGGGAACTCAATTCATCACTTTTCCTCATCGTCAAGTTACTGAATATTTTTAAAAAATACAAAGTGGTGGTCAGCCCTACATCTTGAGATTGTTGTGGAGATAATATTTATGAGAAATCCTAGCCAAGAGCCTATTCCATAGAGTCACACAATATGTAAGGGTCCTCATGTCTGTCCTTTGCCCTTGTGCTTTCAGGCTCATGACCACACCTCTGCCCAAGTATACATACGTCAGTCTGACTACTTGGTTCTTGATATAGTGCTTGCTTAAGGCCGAATCAATAAATATCTCATCCACCTGTTGTTACAGAAAGAAAGAAACTATGTGTTAATGAGATGTTTTATAATAGGACTGTATTGTTGAATAAATGTTAAAGCAACAGGAAACATTTTCAAAGGAGCAATATCATTTGGATCAGTGATTCTTAACCTTCACAGTACAATGGAATTATTTGCTAAATTAAAAATAAATTACGCATCCTGCAGCTCTTATCCCAGAATTTTGGTTTCAATTGATCTGGTAAAGACCCCAAGGCAATCATATTTTTAAAATTTCCCTCAGGGAATTCTAATGTCTGGGTCAGGTATTTGGAGTCAAAGATATCATCTCAAAATCTGTAGCACAAGGCTTTGAAAAGTGGTGAGGAGAAGCCAAACTCCATCCTGGGCTTGATCCTCTTCTGGATCATGAACAAGGAGACCTTGGAAAAGGTACTGAACAGATTTGAGCTTCAATTTCCTGACTTGTAAGACAAAGATACTGATATGTTACTCAAAGGTGAGGAGTAGACACATACAGTATAAAGGGCTGAGTATGTGTTTGTAGGCAACTGCTGGTGGGGCTCTAGCTCTCGTATTGTCATTGGTGGTCTCAACTTTCTCTCAGAAACTTTAAAGGAGTTCTAGGGCACAAGGAACGGGCATTAGGGATTTAGGAGAGAGAAATACTTTTAAATTGTTGTGGATTATAGATTTTGCAGTAAATAAGAAAGGAAGAAAGAGTGAGGTGATGTCGGAATATCAAGTCAAAGTGGTGTTACTCAGATTATGAGACCCAGGAAGAAGAGAGAGAGCAACTGCTTTTGGGCTTCTGTGCAGTTTTAACTGTCAGCCACAGCTCAGGATCTATCATGCCCAGAGTTTCCTTAAATTATCCCCTCATATTCACTTGGTGAAAACAGTGTGTTGTCGGAATGCAGGTCTGGTAATTCCTGTTGGAGATTAGGTGAGCTGAATGTGAAAAGCAAATAAATTCTGAAGGAAGTGGAAGGAAAACTAACTCTTTTCTGAAACACACACACACACATGCACACACACACATGCACACGCACACACACACAGGCACACACACTCACAGAGGGAAGGCTGTTTCCATGACCAAGCGACAAGCTATGACATCTTTAGCTCTATCAGGACTTCATGGATCTTCATTAGGAACCAAAATATTTATTACCTAGTTTAATCCTCATGATTACTCAGTGAAATAAGAATTGTTTTGATTCCTGTTTCACTAAAAGAGGAAACTGAGACTCACACATTTTGTGAACTTCTAGGCTTCATTCATGCAGATAGTAATCAACTGAGACTTAAACACAGGCCTGCTATCTGTAGGGTCCCAATCTCTCCACTTAGTCACACTGTCTCATTGTTAATGTGATACAAACTTATTTCAGTTTCTTTCCTTGCAAACATAGCAATAAATTTTCAAATAAGTAGTTCATTGACTTGAAGATAACCTAGTATAATAATTCTAAAGATATACATATGGTAATAGCCTCAAACAGAAGATCTGAGGCAACATTTAAAATATAGATAAATTGAGTGCAGAGCAGGCTTCTGGGTAGGCATGCTGCAGCTCCCAGCACAGAGGAGGCTTTGGGGTCAGCATGCTATAGTTCCCAGCACAGAGGAGGCTTCTGGGTAGGAGTGCCACAGCTCCCAGAGCAGAGGAGGCTTCCAGGTCAATGTGCCATGGCTCCTGGTGCAGAGGAGGCTTCTGGGTTAGTGTGCTGCAGCTCCCAGTGCAGAGTAGGCTTCCGGGTCTGCATGCCACAGCTCCCAGCACAGAGGAGGCTTCTGGGTCAACATGTGGTGGCTCCCAGTGTGGAGGAAGCTTTTGGGTTAGTGTGCCACAGCTCCCAGTGCAAAGGAGGCTTCCAGGTTGGTGGGCCAGAGCTTCCAGCACAGAGGAGGCTTCCAGGTCAGCATCCCAAACCTCCCACCTCAGAGGAGGGGGCGCCCCACAGGGGACAGCAGAACACCCCCTCCAGTTGAAATGAGAAGACATGTAAACAAGCCTCAAAAACAGACTTCCAGATCACCTACAGCAACCCCAAAGGGAGATGAGATGGAACAATTTGATACTCAACCACCTGGATTTCCTGAACTAGCAATGAAAGAGGATCTGGAAAAAATGAAATCAGAAATAATTTCTCAGATAACATCAGAGATTGTGCCCATAGTGCAAGACATGATTTATAAATCTAGAGTGGATACAGATTAAAAAAAAAGAGGAGTTGAGAAACATGATGGAATCCCAACATAGGAAACAAATGGAATCCATAAAACAGATTCAAACAGATATCAGCAGATTAAAAACTCCATTGAAAGTCTTTGCAGCAGAATGAGCCAATGTGAAGACAGAATTTCTGATATAGAAGATAAGACTGCAATTAGTGACCAGGAAAAAAACCATTTCTTTAAAATTGTAAAGGACCATGAGAAATCAATCTAGCAGCTGCTGGATGATGCAAAGAAGAATAATATAAGACTGACTGGAGTCAATGAAGAAACAGGAGAGAGTGCAGATGACATAAAAAAACTTTTCACAGAAGTGATGGCAGAAAACTTCCCAAGCAGGGGAAAAGAACTTGACATACAGATAAGTGAAGCATAGAGGACTCCA